CTGAATGCACATTTCAATCAAAGGCAAATGCAGTGGTATCTCCAAATTAATTGGTGCAGGAAGGAGGGATTATACACGTTTTCACCATGATATGGATTTTGTTCCTTACCTTTGTTCTTTTTGTCCACTCATTTCCCCAAAGGCATCCAATCCTCTCTACCGAAAGCCCATTTCCACGCATAACGTAGAGTTCACATTCAACAAGCTCAACAAGTCTTACAACGGTACAGTTGACTGATGGGGTCTTGGCACCTGGGACTGCTGTGGACAATTGCTTGACTGTATGTGCTGCTTCCCCACTTGAAGATGGGATCCTCTTCAGGGGTGAGAATCCCTTACGACAGGACTGGTCCATGACCAAAGCCTGTTATTTGCACAGTAAGGAGAAAAGGCCGGTTCATTCTGGAGGCATGGATGCAAAGGCAGGCTCCCCGCCTGTGCTGATGGATGCCAAGCTGTGTGCGACTCCATACCCCAGCTTACTGGATGCATTAAACCTGCCAACTAAGTCAACGAAGTGCCATATTGCAGCTTTAGACATATCCCGTTAGAAAGGGTGACTAGTTCAAAATCAGGGGAACGCACGGCATTACAAGTTGTTAGGGGGGGAATTAGCTTAAAAAGAAGAGGGTGTTGGAAGCATTTGTGTATGAAATTAGGATACAAGAGTTCTGCAGTCTTTAGGATTTTTTTTATATAAAAAAACAAAATAAAACTATTGTGCATATATGATGTTGTGAGTAGAATTCATTGTTTCTTTGCTGAGCCTCCCACTGACAGACTGAATGGGGGCTTGCTCCTGCAAGCACAAATGCTGCCGCCTGATTGATTTATTAATAGAGCCTTATCGGTCAAAGCATGGCTATAAAAATAGGAGCAGGAGCCACAGAGACTGCCGCAGAAGATATGTTGATTTAATACCCTGATGTTGACCCAGGGCACGGAGTGCCACAAGGAGCTCCTGCTCCGTGCCAGCAGTGCTAAACAGATGGGAAACTGCTGGGAGCTTGAGGGAAATGGGAGTTTAGGCTGAGGAAACTAAACACCCTTTCCTTGGAGTGTGCAAATAGGTGTCAGGCCTGGGTGCCTGCAGGAGGGCAGCTCATCCAGACCTCTAACTTTTTACCACTATTTTGCTGTGGGGTCCAGCGGAGCCCAGCTGGAAAAGCAGGGGAGCCCTGAGATTTTGGCTTGAAAGGGAGCTGGATAAAACCCGGTGTTGTTGCTTCACAACATACATGCTTTGGTTTTGTTGGTGTTTTTTGTTGTTTTGTTTTTTTTTTTTTTTTTTTCCCCCAAACTGTTCCCCCAGCCCCATCTGTTTTCTTCTGGAGCCGGGGTTTGGGTTACCCTGGCTGACAGCTGCAGCTTCAAACCCATGCAGACTGCAGTGGGGCTGCAGCTGCTGGCAGGAGAGTGAAGCCAGAGCAATTGCTACTGCCTGCTTTTTTTTTTTTTCTTTTTTCTTTTTTTTTTTTCCTTTTTTTCTTGTCTCTTTGCCCTGAGCAGATCATGCAATAGTCAGCTGAAGGAAGCTTGCCAGGGAAAAGCAAAAAACAAATGGTGTTCATTGTTTTGACTTGCTCTTCTCATTGGAAAAGGGCCATGGGCCCATCCTTCCGGATTTTTTTTTTTATTATTTGTTTTGCCTCTATAAACAGAAGCTCTTATTTGCTCAGTATAAACAGCTCTCCTTCGAGAACTTTATTGTCCCCCCTCCTCCCACAAACAGCACTGAAGAAACACAGCAGACCACACTAAAAATAGCTTGAAACAGGGAATTTTTCAGGAGTGCAGCAAGTGGCACATTGGCAGCAAGTGGCACTGATCAAGTGGGGTAAAAAAACCCCAAACAGATTACATCTGTACCCTATTCTATTATATCTGCCCAAACAGGGAGGGAGAGTGCATACGTTCTGAAAACAAGTTCAGCAGCAGATTCTGGTTAAATGCTGGTACTGCCTTCCTGTAACCCGCCTGTGGGTGGGCTGGGGGCTGCACTGCCTCCTCCCTGCTGCCCACAAGCAGTGGGACAGGCCTAAGGGCTGCAGATGGGCAGCTTTTCAGGGCTCCACATCTCCTGCACGATACTGAAGCCTGGGCCTAACTAAGTTTGCAGGCTATGTTGCATAGTGAATACCTGGGACTAATGCTGCTGCCTAGGAAGAAGCATCCATGGGGCAAATTCGTGCCCAGTGCCACATTGGCAAGATAGTTTTCATCACTATCACAAAAGAGAAATAGAAAACAGTCAAAAAATAATCATCACAAATAGAGCAAGCTTTAGCTTGGTTCATGTGACTGCGTCTCACAAAAGCCCTACTGCCCCAGGCATGGAAAGGGAGAGCAGGAAGGGAAGTGGAGGGAAAGGAAGGGCAGGACCATTTTAAATAAGCTTTGCCATACCAAGCAGCAAACTGAATACAGCTCCGCTGCAGTTAATCTGCAAGGGACCAAGCAGTTCAAAAACAAAACCAACCCCTTTGCTTTCTTCCTTTGCACTCCGAAAGGAAAGGCACGGGCAGTGCCCCTTTCCCCCTGCCTTTTCCTTGCAGATTACCTTTACACTTTGGCATTTCCCAGCACGCTGGGTTAGTGCTGAGAGACCGGACAATCAAGACAGCCGTAGGGAGCTGAGGTTTGACACGTTGCTAAGGGGTGGTTTGGATAGGGAGAGTGCAGAGTTGGAGAGGGAGGGCCTGGAGATAGGACTGCAAGTGCCCTCCTCTTCTCGAGGGGAGACTGAGCTGTACAGCAAACTGGCCTGCAGAGTAGCCAGGGAGTCATGTAGGGAGCAATTAGGTGAGGGAAGAGTGCCACAGGCCAGGGGCTCCAGAAAGTGTAGCAAAAAAGAAGGAAATAGGGTTGGCTGCTGTCAGCAAAGAGCATCCTGCTGCCCACGGCGCTGGGACAGGCAGCACAGAGCAGCACCACGGGTGCCTGTGCCCATCCCATGGATGACAGCAGCTGCCATGCCTGGGTGCAGAAAGGCTTCAGCCTCCAGGTCAGACTTTCTTCATGGCACGTCTACTATCCAAAGGTACCACAGAAACTTTATGTAAATAAATAAAAGAAACAATTTGTTGTTTCTAATTCCTTAATTCCTGTAGGCTCTGCCCCTCAAATTTAGCTTCTCCACAAAGTTGTAGCTAAAAAAAAAAAAACCAAAAACAACAAAAAAAAAAAGAGGAAGTGATGATAAGAGCAAGAAGGCTTTGCTTTACTGTGCAAGCAGATCTGCCTTTACCCTTTCAAGGTTACTGCCAAGCGCAGTCATGGGAATGGTGTATTTCAGTCAGCAGCAGTTTATTTGTGTCTGTAAATACAGGCAGCCTGACCACAGCTAGCATTCCTGAATGAAAACTACAGCAGAAGGCATCAACGGGTCACACGTGACGGAAAAATGTCAGCGCTTGTCTGGCCAAACTGGAATCCGGATGCCATTGCAACATCAGCTCCTCCTGTTTCCCCTCCCACAGCTGGAGGCTGCTGCTGCGCGGGCACTGGGACTGGGGCTCACCAGAGTGTTTTCCCTGGGCTACTGGTATTTTTGAGGGAGAGACCATCACACCATGCCTTGTGAAAAGTCAAGGCCAGTGGCAGCATTATTTGCGTTGTTAATTGTGGAGATACACTGGAGCCCTTGGCTGTAAAACAAGCCGGAGTGAGGCATGCCAGCTTTTCATCTTTGCCCTGTATGGTGGAGGGAGAAGGCGCTCAACAGCTGAAGGCTAAGATCAAGCTCTAGAAAATGAATGCCTCACACTCTTCAACCTCTTTAACCTTGTATTTCTCCAGCCACGTGGAAAGCGAATGAGCTAGTGTTTTTAGGTGAGGGTCACAAAGATTCCTGGAAAGAAATACAAAAGCAAGATAACTGACTACCTCTGCAGCCCAGCAGCATCTCCTGACCCTTATATTCCAGCATCATCTCTGTATCTGAACACACGTTGAACTGGAATTGACTGTTGTTCCTCTGTCTCCTCTTCACTGCCAGCCTGCAAGAAGCCAAAACAATACAATAGAGTCACAGGGTTTTATTTCATCCTATCCCTTTCTCCATGCCCACTAGGTAGTGCTGGTATCCACTGGATGCAGACCAACAGAAAATCCTCCATTCGACTGTCACGACCCAGAAGGGTTACACAGCCTGTGGTGGGCAAAGGTTGCAACTGGGGGTTCGCAAGACTCTGTCATTCACCGGGACAGGGAGGATTAATTTCCTAAATTACTTTATTGCATTTTTTACTACAGGTTATCACTATCAAGGCATGTGCACTTATGATTAGTATACCTATCTACAAATCACTACAAGAAAGCAAATATATATTGCAACAGCAGCACAATCAATATTAGTAGCAAGTCTATATTTCAGTATAACAGGTTACTATAGAATTACTACTCATAAAGCAACAAATATACTTATCAGTAACTACTTATATGCATCCCTATGAATATATTTTTCTATATTATATAACTATATTAATACATATTATTTAAGTATATTAATATATAATATATAATACATTAAATACATATTATATATATGTATACATATATACACACACACACACACACGTATAAATAATGTAACCAGTACCAAGTGCTCATCAAACCCATCCGAGAAGTGGAGCCAATTGGACAAAGTCTCACTCGAGCAATGATCTGGATCATGGAGCTTGGAGTCAGCCTGGCATCCCTGGCGAGGGTTTGCTCTGCCAAGGAAATGTTGTGGGGAACAGGGGTTCATGTATGTGCACTTCTCAGAGGAAGGGGCTCCATTTTGGGTAAAAAGTAAGTCTTTTTTATATCACAGAGACATAAGAGGTTGAAGGACACCACGACGTGGAGCAGTCATTAAATGCTGCTAATTTATATTTTTCACCTGGCACAGTCAATAAATGATGGTGTTTTCTCTTCTCTTGGTCCAATTTTTTAATTTCCAGAATGTTTTTCTGGTCTGCCACTTAGAACAGCCAGTGGCAGTTACAAACTCTTACTTTCTCAGGGTGTTTTCCCCCTTTTCCAGGCTTTTTTTTTTTTTTTTTTTTTTTTTTTTTCACCATTCCAGATGATAACTTGCTGTTACAGTTTCTTGGTTTTGTACTTCGCATCGAAAGTGTCTCAGGCTGTCTCTGATTTCTTGGTACCCAGTTGCACTTCAAAGATGCCAGTTGTGCTCTTCAAGCATGCTTCTGGTCCCCAGGGCGGCAGGCATTTTCTCCGTCAGTATTTGACCAGAGGTCTTCTGTTCAGTATTTTCCCCCTCATAACCAGATTGCCTTTATGGCTGCTCCCATCACTCCACCCCTTGGCCTGTGACCGCTGATGGGTCACTAGGAGTGAGACTACACCCCGCCTGGCGTAGTCTCTTGCCTCCTAATGCATGAGGAGAAGGAGACTCATAGCCGTGTTGGGCCCAGTGTTGTTGCAACTTCTGAGAGGGTTTGTTGGTTGAGGCACGAGTGTACAGTACCAGTTTGGATAAAAGTGATAAAAACAGTGCTTTCGTATGAGATACACTACAGAAAAGCATGCATCCTGCAGCGAGGACAAGAGCTAATGTCACTGAGATGCACTGTGCCCATGCTCCGGGGTCTGGCAGCCAAGATGATGGCCATGGCCAGGCCTGGGCAGGGGCTGCTCTTGGATTACTTGGTGGACATGTTGCTGAATAACATTCACTTCATATTTGATTTGTTTGACTTAGTGTAAAAGCAACGGGTACTATTCATTAACATGCAAAGACTCCTCTGGGAGCCTAAAAGATAATCCAAGGCCCAGCGAACGTGAGTAGCTGTGACGGGTGTACCCACGCTGAGTGAGCGAGCGGTGCTTTGGTTCAGGCATCACCAACAAGCAGCCGTGACTGAAATCAGCCCTGCTGGGCAAGCTGTGAGACCCGGGCTGGGCCACAGCTCCTCAGGGACTAAGGAGTCTAGGCCACAGCTTATCAGGACTAACAGCACCAGCCCCAGCTGGGACGAGACAAAACTAAAACTGCTACAGCTCCACACCTGCACATACACCAGTGGGGTTGATTATAAGACAATCATTTTAGGCTAGAGACATCTGTAGCCACTCGAGCCCATTGAGCTCTCCTGCACAGCAGCAGGCTGCACAGAGTTGCTCTCCCCTTGGGCAGGGATGCTTCTCAGGGTTAGTCCTTGAGGTTGAGCCACCTCTTACCTGACATCTAATGTCTATAATGAGGTAAGAAACATTTTACATTAGGCCAAAAGGTATATTGTATGCTACTAACATTTATATATCCAGATCTAGCTTAACTATTGGAAGTGTAGTAAGTCATACTGTTTCGACACTGTCTAAATCATCATCTAATCACCATCTAAATTATCATTTAAATCATCCTATAAATCATTGTCAGATCATTGTTAAATCACTGTTTAATTAACATTCGATTATTTCTTAATCACCATTTGATTATTATTTCATTTTCATTCACTCATTAATTACCATTTAATCACTGTTTAATCATTAATAAAACCCTTTTAGTAAGCTCTACAACAATGACTTTTCTTAATAATTCATTTGTGTCGGTAGCCAATTGTGACAGTGAGTTACTCTCCATCTGTGGGTTCTTTAAAGCATCCATAGTAGCATTTGGGTAATTTCAAGTGTAGCAGAAATACTAACAACAGCTTATTCTAATTCAATAGCACCCAAGCTTGGAAACAGCACACATACAACTTTAGGAAACGGATGGTCTCATTACTGTGGGCTTAGACACTCTGCCCTGATTACCTACAGAGTAATGGTTGTGTTGGAAGTTATATGTCAGATCCTGAGATTGAAATGCCAAAGGAGCAAGACATGCTATGGTACAAGTGCCAGTCTTCTGTGGTGGTAGACTTTTATAATTATTAGTACCACAAAGCCAGAACCATCCAGATGTTAAAATGTCGGCCACCAGCTTCACCCAGAGTCATTGCCATGTTTGCAGAATGAACACTACGGATTAGAAAAACAATTCAATTTTGTTAAACACATGAATCAGTGTCCAAAAGGGGTTATGATCTATACAGCCAGATATGTTGCTTGGGCCACATATACCCCAATCATCATTAGTACTAAGCCAACCATTACTCTGTAGACAACAGCATGTAGAATCAAGACTAGTGAGACTGTAGTATCTTTGACAGTTCATGTTATTAATGTTCCATGTAAGATGCCAGAGTCCATTAAAAACACCTTTGTTTGTAATTGCTGATTCATTATTTCAGGTCCATGAGATTTCCAGAATCAATACAAGATTGTGTTCTGTCACACTGACATTGAAACCGTCCTTGGGTGTGATTTTAATACAAGGTATAATTACAATTGCTTACTTTCCCCACCCAAACTGAATTTGTGTAATGGGGCTTTAGCATATGAATGTGATTTTAAAGCGTGTTGATAATTTGGTGTACTGGGTAGTAAGTATGCCAAATTAGGTTGATACCAAGGTGCTTCAGGTACAGGTTCTGATCACCACCAACATTTGGGATGATTGAGGGTGGCAATACCAACAATCCAGTTTGTTGCCCACTTGAGAAACTGTATTCATATATTGAACAGTGTGATTGCTATTCCATCCTTGAGATAGGGAAACAAGCAGTATTGTAATTACTAGATATGATCCAATCACTGTATATATATAATATAACAACTGTAAGAAACAAAAGTGCTCATCATGTTGTTTCATTTCATGTCATCTTGCCAAATCAGTATGATGAATAAGGTAGGACCAAAATCCAGGGAGAATAAACTGAGGTTCTGGTTGCTGATGTTGCAGTTAGGGTGACCTGAAAGAAAAACAAAACCGCTTCATTCCTTTTGGATATTAGGCAATCTGGATATCCATTGCTTAGAAATGAGATGCTTGTCACCCTGGTGATTGAGCATCTTCCTTTAATTTTCCATCTTTTAGTTTTCCAATCATTATATATATTGCATCAGCACCGGGCTCAGCATCCCATTGCTTTTGCATATTGTACTGTCAGTTCCCCTCTGTACTGGGTCTGGCTGAAAGGGCGTTAATTTTCCCCATAGCAGCCCTCATAGTGCTGTGCTTTGTGTCGGCAGCTAGAAAAGTGCTGATAACACACGAGTGTTTTGGCCACAGCTGAGCAGTGCTACCACAGCACCAAGGCTGCCTTTCCAACATTCCCCCTCACCAGCAGGCTGGGGGTGGGCAAGATCTCCAGAGGGGACATAGCCAGGACAGCTGACCCAAACTGACCAAAGGGATATTCCATACCATAAGATGTCAGCTCAGCAATAAAAGCTAACAGAAAGGAGGAGGAAAGGGGGGCATTTGTTATTTACTGCATTTGTCTTCTGGAGCAACCACTATGCATACTGAATCCCTGCTTCCCAGGAAGTGGCCAGACATAACCTGCTGATGGGAAGCAGAGAATAAAATCTTTTGCTTTCCTTTGCTTTTGTGCATGACTTTTGCTTTATTAAATTGACTTTATCTTGATCTACAAGGGTTTTTTCCGTCTTATTTTCTACCTCCCATCCTGCTAGGAAGGGGAGTGATGGAGCAGCTTGGTGGGCACCTGGTGTCCAGCCAAGGTCAACCCACCACAGTCCTTTTTGGCGCCCAACAGGGGGCATGTGACAACAGCAGTTTTGTATTAAGCGTGCTATAGCTAGAGTGGTTATTAAATGGCAAGCTTATTGCAAGTTGTGTGATGAACAAGAAGCTCCTAGACACGCTTAAACACAAAAAAGAAGCCTACAGAGGGTGGACCGTACATGGTCAACAGACCATTGTCCACGTGGAGAGCAGTGACAAGTGGCGTTCCTCAGGGGTTGGTATTAGGACCATGTCAGCAGCATGGACAGTGGGATCAAGTGCACCCTCAGCAAGTTCACTGACAACACCAAGCTGTGTAGTGTGGTCAACGTGCTGGAGGGCAGGGATGCCATCCAGAGGGACCTGGACAGGCTTGAGAGGTGGGCCCGTGCAAACCTCATGAAGTTCAACACGGCCAAGTGCAAGGTCCTGCCCCTGGGTCCGGGCAATCTCAAGCACAAATCCAGGCTGGGCGAGGAGTGGATGGAGAGCAGCCCTGGGGAGAAGGACTTGGGGGTGTTAGTGGATGGAGAACTGCCTGTGAGCCAGCAATGTGCGCTCGCAGCCCAGAAACCACCCGTGTGCTGGGCTGCATCCAGAGCAGTGTGGGCAGCAGGGCGAGGGAGGGGATTGTCCCCCTCTAGTCTGCTCTCGTGAGACCCCCCTACAGTGCTGTGTCCAGCTCTGGGGCCCCCAACATCAGAAGGACACGGACCTGCTCAAGCGGGTCCAGAGGAGGCCACGAAGATGATGAGGGGGCTGGGGCACCTCCTTTATGAGGACAGGCTGAGAGAGTTGGGGGTGTTCAGCCTGGAGAAGAGAAGGCTCTGGGGAGACCTTATAGGGGCCTTCCAGTGCTTAAAGGTGCTACAGGAAAGATGAGGAGGGACTTTTTATGAGGAGGTGTAGGGATAGGAGGAGGGGCAATGGTTTTAAGATGAAGGAGGAAAGATTTAGATTAGATATAAGGAAGAAATTATCTCCTGTGAGGGTGGTGAGGCACTGGCATAAGGTGCCCAGAGAAGCTGTGGTTGCCTCATCCATGGAAGGGTTCACCTGGGCTGGCGGAAGGTGTCCCTGCCCACAGCAGAGGGGTTGGAACTAGGTGATCTTTAAGGTCCCTTCCAACCCAAACTGTTCTATGATTCTACGATTCTGTGTGGATTTTATGACCTTTGTTTTTTGCTTTTATTAAACTGTCTTTATCGCGATCTGTGAGTTTTTTCCCATCTTATTTCCCACCCCTCCCATTCCACTGAGGAGGGGAGTGATAGAGTACCTGGTGTCCAGCCAAGGTCAACCCACCACACCCTCAGTCCAACCGTGATGTGCTCTGTGCATCACCATCTCCTGGGTTGTACTGAGCATGCAAATGAAAGCAGAGCACTGCGAGGAGCAGCAGCAGCGGGGCTGCCAGCAGCAGCAAGGGACACACAGGGGATACACGAGGACAAAAGGACTACAGCTGAACAGGAGGCATTCCCCAAATGACTGAGGGGAACCTGGCAGAGCAGGCGACTTAGGCTAAAACAATATTCCTGGGGATGGAGTGTGATATCCACCAAGCCTGTAGGAGGTATGACCAGGTAGATTAACTGCTCTTCATGGTGGCCAAGATGCAGGAGGAGGTGAGCAGACTGAGGGGCATCCAAAAGTCTGAGAAGGAGATTGACCAATGGAACTGTGCTCTGCTGTCTCTGATGCGTGCAAGCCAGCTTAGGGTGGCCACTACAGAAGCAAGTCCGGGATCCATTTTGTATCAGGAGAAAGGAAGCATTACAAGGGATGGTGATGGGTAGAAGAAGGTTGCTGCACGGGGCTGTAAGAGAAACCCCTCCTTACCTTCTCAGATACCTTTACAGAATAGGTACAAGGCCCTGGGTGTGGTAGATGAAGCACATAAGAGACAGAAGAGGAGGAGCCTATGCAAGCACTCTCACCAAGGTCAGCTCGACTAACCCCTCACAACAAGACCTACGTTGAAGACCAGAACCAAGAAGAGACAACCGTGACTTGTTGTCATCAGTGATCCCCTCCCGTGCGGAAGAGAAGCACACAATTGCAGACCAGACCATCTTTTCAGGGACGTTTGCTGCCTCCCTGGGGCCAGAATTAGGGATGTCACCAGGTGACTGAAGAGCTTAGTACAGCCTTTGGACTATTATCCACTCCTGCTCTTCCATGTGGGTACTAATGATATTGCAAAAAAAGACTAAGGTCAATCCAAAGAGATTTCAGGGTCCTAAGAAAAATGCTAAAAAACTCAGGAGCACAGGCAGTGATTTCCGTGATCCTCCCAGTAATGAGGAAAGACTTGGGAAGAAACATGCAAGCCCAAGATTTCAATACCTGGCTCCAGGACTGGTGCATCCACCAAAACTTTGGAGTGTATAATCATGGAAGAGTCTTCAAGGCACACAGTATGCTGGGGCTCGATGGGATCCACCTTAGGAATTCATGAGTGCTGGTCAGTTTTTAAGAATCACCTTTTAGAAGCACAGGAGCAAGCAATCCCACTGCATCTGAAGTCAAGCAAGTGGGGCAGAAGGAGCTCAAGAGGAAAAAGAAATTGTACAATCTCTGGAAGCAAGGTCAGTCTTTGCAAGAAGCTTACAGAGCTGGGGTTCATATGTGCAGGGAGAATGCACAAAAGGCCAGAGCTCAATTAGAGTTGAAACTGGCTAGTGCTGTGTCTGACAACAAGAATGGCTCTTTGAAGCATGTTAGTAGCAAGAGGAGGTCTAAAGAAAACATCGGGCTGGTACTCGTTGAAGATGGTCACCTGACTAATAGGGATGAAGATAAAGCAGAGGCATTAAACGCTTCTTTTGCCTCAGTCTTTAGATCTTGGGCTGCTGGGTCCCCTGAGTCAGAGGACCACAAGTGTAGGAACAGTGACTCTCCATTGGTGGACACTGAAATTGTAAGGGACCAGCTGCATCAGCTGAATGTTCACAAGTCCATGGGGTCTGATGGGATTGATCCCAGAGTACTGAAGGAGCTAGAAAATATTATGGCAGAACCCCTCTTGCAGGGGTTGTAGGGAATGGGGCTACATCTGGATGGCAACTGGTCACCAGCAGTGTTCAATTGTAGGGCCAGCTAAAAATAAGATTTTTAATAGAGGGGACAGCAGCATGTAAGGCTCAGATAATTTAATTCAGTTTAATGACAGTCTATCATCAAACACCAGGTGCTGTTAGACTTACAGACAGGCCATCAGGGGCAGTTATACTATGAATAATAATTCTGAATAATACCTGTCCCGGTTTTGGCTGGGAGAGAGTTAATTTTTCTTTTTAGTAGCTAGAATAGTGCTCTGTTTTGGATTCAGTATAGGATTTGGTATGAGAAGAATGCTGATAATACACTGATGTTTTCAGTTGTTGCTGAGAGATCAAGGACTCTCCAACTCCTGACGTCCTGCCTGGGCGCAGGTGTACAAGAAGCTGGGAGGGAGCATGGCCAGAACACCAGACCTGAATTAGCCAATGAAATATTCCATATCACATAACGTCATGCTCAGTACATAAAGGAGGGGCAGCCAGAGAGGAGAAGGTTCTCTCTCGCTTCCGGGCTTGAGATTGTGGGATCTTGATATTCTGGGATCGCTAGCTGGGAATGGGCTGGGTATCAGTCAGCAGGTGGTGAGCAATCGCATTGCACATTGCCCATTTGTACTTTCTATTACTGTTATTTTTTTATTCTATTTCAATTATCAAACTGTTTTTATCTCAACCTGCGAGTGTCCCTTTACCCCTCGAGTTTTTTCCCCCCATCCTCTGGGCAGGGAAAGGTAAGTGAGCAGCTGTGTGGTGTTTGGCTGTCATCTGGGTTTAAACCACAACAACACCCCACTGTCCTCAATCCTGGATGAGAGCAGTTATGGCTTGTGAGGTTTTGGGGCTAATACATTACTGCCATACATGGGTGAAGGGACTTTTAGGTAACTTAGGTGCTGCCTGTAACAGAAAAGCAATAGCTTTCACAACAGGTATTTTAGTGATGGAAATTCTAGAGTTCTGGGTCTGAGGGTTTGGCACCCAAGAGCTTACTAGAGTATGAATAGTCTGCGATTTTAATACGTCCACACCCAAAATACTTAAGAGCCCTACTGCCACTATGGGTCTCGGTGTCCTTCCACCAGGCAGAGCCAAGTTTATCCTGGCCACGGGGAGCTCTCATATTTTCCTGGAAATCACTTTATAGAAAACCCTTCTTGAGGTTTCCGAATTAACCCAGGGGCATCCTCAGCATTAATCGTTGATATTGTGGCTCCTGTACCCATAAGAAGAGATGGAGTGTTTGCCATTCACTGTTAATGGCATACAAGGGTGCTAATACTAATTCCAAAATTTGTGAACGCCTGGGAGGGGTCATTGGGACTCCCAGGACCAACGATGGGACCTCCTCTATTTCTTTTCAGGTAGCGGGGTTGGGGGACTGGACAGAACAAGGTTGTCCGGGATGGGGGAAGCAGAGGGACTAACACCACCCGGCTCCTTCTCTGCCCCCGGGCTGCTGGTGCTGCCCCCATCGCGCTTATCCCACAGTCTCTGCAGGACGAACATGGGCATCCTCTCCAGCTGGCCTGCTGTGAATCCAATTCCTCGCAGGAGGTCCCATAAGCGTTTCCGTTCCAGATCACGCTCCTGTTTGCCAGGGCGTTGCTTTGTGTCAGATTGATTCATTTCAGCATTTCGAGCATTTTGTCCCTTATTCTTATTACTCAGACCTCCCTTTAACATCTCGACGACCCTGACCTGACCTTCCCTGTCAGAGACTATTGTTTTGGGGTTGCTTTCCTGCCCTCGTCGTGTCCCCGCAAGGGCTGTCCAATTTTGCAGCCCTTGGGTCATTATGGTGTTCCAGTCCCCAGTTGCATAGCGTAACATTATGGCCAGGTTTTTTGGTCCTCCGGGTGCTGCATTTTGCAAGAGTTTCAGTTTCCCTGATGCTGTTGCTGGCACAGCCATCATGTCCTGGGGTATCACCCCTTGTGCCTTCAGGACATCCCGAGCAGCCAGCCTCATCATCCAGCCAGAAAACCCATCAGGAGTACTCCAGGGAGGGGGGGGCAGATATCCCCATGGTCCCGGCATTTTTCTAACAGCATATATTATTGAAGATAATAGGGAGAAGGTATTCATCCTCACCCCTGCATTGGGGTTCAGGAGAAATATTCTTCGTCCCAGGAATATCTGTCTGGCCTCAGTCTGATTAAGGATCACGGTTCCAGCCTCCAGCTCATAGCACCGCGCCACCCATCCCACCCAGTCCTCGTGGGGTTTTTTGCTGTACTGCAAGGACAGCTGCCTCAGCTGTTCTGTGTTAAAATTTGCAGCAATTATCATCACCCCAGGCAGTGGGGGAGCGCCTTCCTCACCATCAGGAGCCAGGAGTTTTACGGGGGAAGGTTTAATGCCAGGGTGAGAGGAGGCAGCTTTGTGCAGACAATGCTCAGTTAACGAAGCGGGGGTGGAAGACTCACTGCCAGAATCAAAGCCCTCCTCATTATCCATTTTCAGTTTGTGCATCTTTCCAATGATCTTGTTCTCCGAGACCTGGCACATCGGCTCTTGCTCTAGCTGTCGTATAGACAGAGGTCTGAGGCTGGTTTCTAATTGTCTAGGTAATTTGTTCATAACAGCAATATGGGATTCAAAGGCACCTGCTCGCACTTCTGCACCCTTAGCTTGCTGCAAACCTCCCAGTTCCTGCCTAGCAGTGTTAAACAAAGCGCCCGCGGCTGCCAGTGCCTCCGTGAGAAGCCCGATGAAGGCTCCCTTGCTGTCCTCTGCTTTGCATTTGTGACTGTTCTGCCACTTCTGAAACTCTGCTCGTAGCATTTCCCAATTCAACCAGTTCTCAGACACCCAAATCCTGTCCCACTGAGGGGTTTTCCACCCCTTAGCCTGCTGCCATTTTCGCTGCTCTTCTACTGCCTTCTCCCACGCATCCATGATTTGTGTCTCACAGAACCCCACCTCTGACACCAATTAATACCACAACCCAGAAGGGTTACCTGCCTGTGGGTCTGCAAAGACTGCAACTGTTTGCAGGACTCCAACATGCATAAAGACACAGAGGATGTATTACCTATGTTCTTTACTTCATTACAGTTTACTACTATCAAGGCAAGTATAGTTACGATTGGCAAAACAAGTATACCTGTACTACAAGTTACTACAAATACTACCAGAGAGCAAACATGTATTTTCCACAGCAGCAGCGATTAATATTAACAGCAAGTCTATATTTCGATATTACTAATTACTGCAGAATTACCACTAATTAAGAAGCAAATATACTTATCAGTAATTACTTACATGCAGGACTTTATATATTTTTTTTATATATATATTCAAAAATGTTACCGGTACCAAATGCTCAAACCGATCCCAGCAGTGGGGCCAGTCAATCCTACCCCAGAAGTGAGGCCAGCCGGCAGCGGATGGCGTCTCCCTTGGACGATGATCCACATCTCAGAGCCTGGAGTCAGCCCGGTGTCCCTGGCGAGGGTCCGCTCTGCCGAGGAAATCTCATGGGGAAAAGGAGTTTGCGTGCAGGAAAGAGGTTCCATTTTGGATAAAAAGTAAGTCCTTTTTGTATCACAGAGACATAAAGGGGAGTAGGACACCACCACCTGAAACAGCCAATAAATGCTGCTAATTTCTATTTTTCACCTGGCACAGCCAATAACTGGTGATATTTTCTATTCTCTCAGACCACTTTTTGTTTTATCAGACTGTTTTTCTGTTCTGTGAGTTAGAGCAGCCAATAGCAGTTACCAACACTTACTTTCTCAGGATGTTTCCCCCTTTTCCAGACATGTTTTTCACCTCTCCAGATTATACATTGCTGTTACTGTTGTTTTTGCACTTATCAGTGGTATCTTGGGATGTCTCTGGTTTCTCGGTATCCAGCTGTACTTCAAAGATGCCACCTGCACTCCTCAAGGATCCTTCTGGTTCCCAGGGTGGCAGGTATTTTCTCTGTCAGTATTTGAGCAGAGGTCTTTCTCTGTTCAGTATTTTCCCCCTTATAACCAGGTCACCTTTATGGCTGACTCCATCATCAGCCAAAAATAATACCTCTTAGCAAAGCAGAAATGATCAGCTGCAGGGAACACTGCAGAATTTCCCCATCTAAACAGTACTGTTTGTGAAAGTGTCTTTTGTATAGCTACTATTAGTTGTTCAGGGAACAGATGAAAAGCAACTGCACTAGCTTAGCTTCTCCTCTTGCAATACCTATGTGGGCTGAGCACACCCTATGGCACACCATAACAGTTCTGCTCAGGGGTCCATGCTATAAGTAAGAACTTTGCAGTTTGAGCCTTGCTCAGGCTTCCTCCTGTTCTCTGAACTGGCCAGCGTCCACCTACAAGCCTGCGTTTTCACAGCCTGACTGTGGATAGCATCAGCTTATCAGAAAAAGTTCAGAGGAGAACATGGGTCATGCAGAAACAGAGAACCAAACTGAGGACATTCAGCCCAGACACGGAGACTGGGTCAGGGCTCCCAGCTTGCAAACGCCTGCCAAAAGAGTTAGAGGAAAACTTGAAGCTGGAACAAGCCCAAGGCTGAGTTTTCATTTGCTGCAGTGTTCGAACATGAAGCTGTACTTGTCACTGTGATACAGACCGACCAAAAACCAAGAGTGATTACAAACAAACAAAACATCCAGCCTGTCTAGCCCGCAGTCCAGTTACCAGCCTTCCAAAACAGATCATTTCCCTGAGACAGTGACATCCAAAACTCAGATGTGGAAACAAACTTCCTCTGGGTGTTTCACATTCCTTTGGTCCTGTTCCCAAAACGCAATGTTTGTGTCACTTGCTAAAAAAATCCACAGCAACAAGCTTTCCATGTAAATTTAAAGGGAAGTGATTCAGTTATTTTTCTGGGATTAAGTCTTAAATAATTTTTCATAGAATAGGCTATGGAAACTATAGTATGACCTGTCAGTTATTGGTTAATAAAACAATGTTGACACTGTGACATACAAATCATACTTTTAAGGATAATAATTTTAACTCAGCTGGTTTAAATTCAGTGCTGAGTTTATCAAGATTTTGCAAGAATTTTAAGTCCAAGTCAAGCACTGTACTTACGCAGCTTATACAATTAAAGTGTGCAGACTGGGTGCTCTTGACACAGCACTCCTCGTGCTAGACAGAGATACCTGCAACCTCGGAGAGATAGGGTGAACTTTACATACAAATATCAAAAGCTACGTAACAATTCCTTAATGGTTCCAGCTTGTGCTGGTCTCTCTTACAGTCCCCGCTATGCTGCTCACAAATAGCAATCAGCTTGCTTTCTGCTGCAAGCACTGATGATGTTTGATCAGTCTTATTTCACTATGAAAAGTGTGATATCCTTTCATTCTGTTATAAACCATACTCCAGAGTGGATTAAGAATCACAATTTCACGTAATTGACTACTTAGCAGATAATATAAGAACAGTAATTTAAATATAGCTTTATGCCTCTACCCCAGACTCAATCAGATCAGAGAATGAACTGCAAGACTTTCAGATTCATGTATTATGATGCAAATGAGTTTTGTAAATTGTGACCTAGTTCCCATGTTAGGAACAGTTGGGACCAACAGCAGGAGCTATGAGATGAATGTGAGCAGCGGGGGCAAGCAAAGAAATTAACATTTGTTCTTAATTTGAAATGGATTTTTAATCACTTTCAGGTGCCTCAAAGAAAGCACACACACTTGTTTGCTATAATCACTCTGACAGAAGAATGCATATAGGACATAACATGTTTTTGTTTTACTAATTGAAATGTTTACAACATTGGTGTCAAATGAAGTGACAGAATACAGCCCTTTCTGCATGATTTACTGAGTGCACAATGGAGGACTGTGAAATGAAGTTTTCCAATCGATCAGTTCCTCAGGACTTGTTTTGTAAAGAAAACGAGTTGTGCATATCCTCTAAAAGTGACTGGATATTAGATCACATCCACCTCTCCCAATCCGGTTGCTATTTTTTCAGCTAGAGGCCTCATAAACTAGCTCTCCGAAGAGCCTGCTCACAGATTTAGCTGCATGGATGTCTGCCACCTGCCTAACACAATTCACCATAGTTGGTGGAAAATACTGAACTCAAAGTTCTGCTTACACCCTAGCAGTGAACCTACAGCATACCGTGCTGAACTCCAGCCTGAGGCAGCTTCCTGGTAAACTCCACTGTTTTAAAGGAGGGCATCAGCAAGGGTGTAACCTGTTGAAAACCAGACAGATTTTCATCTTAAGTGTATCTAGTGTTAGCATCACCATTGGAAACTATTAGCTGTAAAAGAGCTAGGGCATCGACTCTCCTGAAAAATAGAGTCTCAGCTCCCTCTGGTGGAAAAAGTAATTTTCTGCAAAACCATTTAAGTGAGAAAGTCTTGTTTCTGCTACAGGCCACAAGGCCATGGGATAATGAAGATGGGACCGTAAACAAACCACAAATCCTCCCCTCACTTTGAAGCACTAACTTCTCTAAGAAGTTGGTGTGAAATTTCACGACTCACAGACTGTTGCAGGGTGGCTGCACAAGATACAACACACATCGAGTTCCAGCTGTGAAAGGGGGCCAAGACAGCCTCCATCTTCCCTGGATGGGTTTCTCTGCCTGTAAATTACAATATGTAAGACCACTATTGGAGGAAACAGTAGCCCTAAGGAAAACAAAATACACACACTAAGTCCTAATATTCTCCCCACAATAACCAACTCCTGAGTCCCATAAAGCAGCCCTGACATCAAGGGGAAGAGAAGCACACTTCCAGGGCCTGTGGAGTGCTAAAGGGTAAAGTCATCACCCACAACACGCCCAGACAGCAAGAAAGCCTTTCAGCTCTTTGTTTTTGAAGTCTGACTGCCAACAGAGCACAATGTCACAAATAAAAGAAGCATAAATCAAAGCCCTCAGGTCCCAGCCTGCATCACTTGGTCTTGGACACTCTGCATAGATTAATCCAACCAACAATCAACAAAAACTCTCGTTTTCAACTTCATCATAATTCCAATCTCCTATTTTGAAAGGTTTAGCAAAGACTCCAGTAATAATGTCAAAAAACTCTTTGCACTACATATAGTTGTTCCTAGTCTACAGCTAAGTGTATTAACAAAGGGACCCAACTTTCTCTGTGCTTTGCATCAGCACAGGAACAGCAAGTATAGAACCACATCACCATTCATCTTTGTCTTCTTGATAGCAATGAAATTTCAAGCCGATTTCCACCACACATACACTAGATATATTTAAGGTTATTCCCTCCTTTCTAATCAAAGCCAATCATACAAGATATTTCTACTTCTCTTTATTCACTGTGAAGAGTAGAAAGTAACTCCTGGGAGTATTCCAGCTATTGTCACAAGAAGTCAATAAATAGAACATTTCTGTTTCTCATTAGGGGAGTCAACAGCTCCACTGTAATTAAGCAGACAACAACTAGTTGCTCTGACAAATTCTCTGTAGCTCCTGCAAACAGAATAATGAGTAATTCCCAGTCACAAACACTAGAATGATTTTTCATAATACTGGGGTTCTGAGAAAAGTGTTTCACGTTGCCACAGAACGCAAACTTATAAATCCAATGAGACGAAAACAGTAGCAAAAAAAAGTATTTATTAAACAACACATTATTCAATTATATCAGCATGGGATTAAGACCCATACTTGCTCCATGGAAACAGAACTGAGTAATCCTGTGAGAGTGGGGCAGCAGGTCAGGTGTGCAGGTGAAGTTTATTAAGAACAGTAAAATACTCTTTCCACAGCCAGAAGGAATTTGAGGGTGGGGATGAGAAACAAAAAGCAACAGCCAACCAAACACCCTTGGAGTGTTCCGTGTACCATTTTTCATCGGAGAAAAGCTATTAAAGCTAAAAACTGGGCAGGAAGGTTTAGTTTCATACATTCAAACATTGAAAAAACCAACCATGGCATGTACATCTTGATCTGTGAGTGCAACTAAAAATAATTTAGTTAGTAACAGATTTTTATCCAAAAGGGCAATTTTCCACTGGCTGAAGTGCCTATGTATTTAACTGGAAGTCTCACGATGATTGCAGCTCCATCACCTTTGTTTACTGCCTAGGAACATGGCCTGCTTTCAATCTTCTGCACAAATACCAAGTCTGCTTATGTAGCTCTCCCAAGCTGCCTTCCTGTACTTCTCTGCTTCTTGAAGATGGTCTGAAGCTGACAAGATGCCACGTCCCACAATAATGATATCTGAACCTTTTTCACTAATAACTTCTTTGGGGCTTAGGTACTTCTGTCCAAGGTTATCACCTGAAACAGACATGCCATTTTTTTTTTTTAGTTCATATAAAGCTGTATCTACTAAAAACCTTCAAAGAGGTGCTAGAACACAGAACAGGTATGCTGTTCTAGCTCTCACCCTAACAATCCATGAACACAACTAGAAACTGTCTCCAACTAACAAACCCCCTATTACACAGATCAAATTTCACAGAGCATGCCCTCCTTTTTCATGATTTACCAATCACAATAGATGGAACAATTACACAAAGAAGCGCTAAGCAGGACTACTGAAATAAGCCTTCTTAAAACAGGCGAAAGTCCCAAATGTTCATGTAAAACTGTGTGATTTCAGTTCAGGCTTCATAAGAATTAGATATTGCAGAGAAACACATCTCCCTTACCTGGTTCAATGATAACCTGTTTAGTCAGTGTAAGACTTCAAATTCATTAATACTTCATCTATATTGGTATCAACAGTGTTACAGTTAGACTGCTGTATTTGTTAAAAACTTTTTCTACTCCTACTGAGTAGTTGGACATCTAATCTAACACCCATCTGAATACATTCCACATTTTAAGGACTGTGCTTTATGGTATGCAGACCTCAGCACACAAAGGCAACCAGCAGGCTACGCAGCCTCCACAGCTGCCAGGAAAGGGACCAGCACACCCAGAAATACAGAGGGCAGCCCATAATGGCAAACACAGACCCCTCCCAGCAAAGAATCAGCAACCAAGCCCTCTTCACAAGTCACTTTTTCACTGAAGGGTAGATCACTTACTGTATTTACAAACAGACTATAAATATTTCAGAAAAAGTTACCTCCAGTTTGCAGCTGCACCCCTGGAGTTAAGTGAAGAAATTCTGGCTTATTACTAACTCTAGATCCAGATATGAACCCAAAAACAAAATCTGAGTTGTCTTCAGCCATCTGTACCTGAGGAAGATTAGCAAACAGTTACAAGTGTTATACCTAAAATTAAGTTTGACTAGAAATCTGTTTCTCATCCCCCTCTTTGACACATTAAGCTGTGCAAGGCAGGGGTACGAAACACCTCTTCTTGTTTTACCAATATAAAGTCACCCAGAGCTTATCCACCACTCCACTGATCTTGCTGCACTTGCAGCCAGGAACATGAATATTATGTTTCTATGTTAAAAATAATACAATGAATGAATTCAAACTAATTAGAAATTCACTGCTTAAGTAGAAAAAGGGGCAGGGCCAACAGTAAACTTGGAACCTTTTGCAGAATTCACAGTGTGAACTCTGACCACCTCACATGAGTAGCCTACAGCTGCAACCTTTAAACACCACACTGTCAGATTCCTGAGTCTCCACAGGGAAAAAACGTGCAACAGTTAGAGCTGGAGAGAATTCTGGAAGCGCAAATATCAGAGGCACACAAAACCTCCCTGTCACAATATTTTACAAGCTTTTAACATTAAATAAGACTGCCTACTTACTGCAGCTCTTGTGTATTCGCCTGTTGCAAGTGACCCCTGGGAACTCATCTCAGCAATCAGAAGACAGCCGCGCTGGAGAGGAAGACCTACTTCCTTCAGACCTTTCACAACTCCAGAGCCTGGAACAACGTGGGCATTAATGATGTCTGACCAGGATGCGATTCTGAACACACCACCTAAGAACATGGATAGGAAGACATAATCAAAGTGCCATTAGAAATGTATCAAACAGGAAACACGTGTTAAACAAAACAAGGTGCACACTAAATCATTCCCATTTTAATAGACAGTTTTACTACTGAAGCTCGACAGTTACAAGTTCAGTCTCATCAGACAGTTCTGATAGCTGCCTAACCACAAAGTGTAATCTCTCAGTTTTACTTTTCACAAACACTTCATAGTATCTCACTTTTAATATTCACTGAGACATTTATGGTAACCTAGAAATCAACTGTCACAGCTGCTGTCTTTCAACGCAGTATGCAGATCATGTGGGACACATGGATCAGAAAAATGGTTCTACAGCTGCAGATGCAAAATCTAACAAAAGCCGTAATGAGCACACAAACATACAAAAGCAGGCTGCCTTAAGAAGCCACGCTCAGTTTTCTCATGGCATACAACTACTCAGAAGTACTTACTGAGCACAACCAGAGAGTCATAAAAAGGTTTAGGTTGGAAGGGACCTCTGGAAGTCATGCCCTCACAGCACAGTTAACTTCAAAGATAGATCAGGTTGCTAAGGGCCTTCTTCCCCTGAGTCTTCTCCAAGGCTGGAGATGCCACCATCTCTCCTGGCAACCTGTGCCAGCACTGCAGTTACACACACCGGCAGCAAAGTTACAGTAACTGAGGTTGATGATAATCACCTTCATACTGATGTTTCACTGTGTTTCCAATGTCTGCAAATTTCCTGTCTTCAAAAATTAAGAATTCGTGTCGATCTGCAAGTGTTCTCAACTCCTTTACTACCTCCTGAGTGAAATCACTCAGGATGTCTATATGAGTCTTCAGGATACAAATGCTGGGGCCCAGGACAGCAGCTAACTGCAGCAGCTCTTTGGAGCTGGTGACATCAGCAGAAAGGCACAAGTTGGTTTGCTTCTTTTCCATGAGCACGAGAAGCCTGGCTGCAGTAGGATGTACGCCTGGCAGCTCAGCACGAGCGCTGAAGCTCAGCTCTTTACACAGTCTCTTCCCGGGAGCAGGACCGTTCTGAGCCGCTGGCTCAAACACACTTTCCTTAATGAACTTCTTCACCTTTTCAACCATCTCAGCAGCCACCTCTCCCTGCTGCTGGAGAATCTCCAAGATCCCGGACAACGTGCACACAGAGTGCAGGCGAATTCCACGTTCCTCTAACATGGCCCTCCCACCCTGCTCCCTGTCCAACAGCACTATGGCATCCGTGACTTTTAATCCTTCTTTCTGAAGAACTTCCGCAGTTTCCAGTACACTAGATCCACTTGTTACCACATCTTCAATGATCAAACATGTTTCTCCTGGATTAATGGTGCCTTCTACCAGCCGCTTAGTACCTTAAAAATAAAAAGCAAACACTCCACTAAATGAAGAAAGCTTAGGATCCCCTAAAAACTAAACAGTATCAAAACTTTAACTTGCTGTGCTAATCTAAATATCATATTTGTTCCACATACAAGTATATGCTGCAGCATATCCTGAAGTCCAATGGCCTGATCTGGTTGGGATGCTGTAGGAGGTATATTTTAGGGGGAAAAGGGACTGGTTTTTGAGTTGGAGTGGTAACCTTAAACAGGAATGGAGATGCTGCATATTACAAAATGGAATTGGACTTCAAGAGAATAGGAATTTCACATTCACTGTCAGTATGAAAAGGTAATTTGTTTCGTTATTACCCGATACCAGTTATCACAGTTCTTACTGCAGCTCAATCACCGACTTTTAATTCAATTCATAAGGACCATTACTTCTCCAAGTTAATAAAATACTACTTTGTGCTTCCAGAAGTTAAGTTCCACTAACAAAAGTGACATATTGTTAACTGCACAAATTTAAATCCCTGAATAAAATGACTACAGAAGTTTATTATTGACATGAATCAAATGCTCGGAACTACAAAACTATTCTCTCCAGTTATTTAAAACATCTTCAAAGCAGCCAAGTTATCAGTACTCTCCAGCATATTTTCTATTTTCCACAGGCAGTATTTTGTGCTTAATATGCCTGTTAGAACAACTGGAAGGAGTAAAGTCCCAAATGCCTTTGCCCTAACCAACAACAGGCACATGTCCATGAAAGCCCTCCCGGGGGGCAACAACAAAGCATGCCTGGCTCTCCCTGGAAGCAGCGAGCAGCAGGAGAACATTATGCATCGAGCGCAGTGCTTAGACCATGACAGCCTAGAGAACAAGTGTACGTACAGCTTTGCAACCCATGTGATACCAAAAGCCTTGTGCCAGGCAGTTAACTGCTGTCACAATTGACTTGTCCTTCACAAGAAGGAACAGCAAACGCCTTCATGCCTGGAACACTAACACAAGAGTAACATTTAGTTTTGACATGCATATTTTTTAATTAAATACTATTGGAGGAGTACAACTCATCACATGTAGAAATCCAGCTGCTATGCTAGGTTAACACTTCAGTTTTCTTTCCCCCTTTATCAAAATCAAATAAATGGTTTATTGGGTAGGGAACTGCTTCTCAGCTGGTCCACCCGCCCCTCTGGTTACAGGACTATGAAAAAGGGGTTTGAAAAGTATACGAAGAAGAGACTAAAAAGGTTCCTCTTGAAGTCAATACGCAAGAAGTTCTGTTTGGGGGTGAAATGTGGCACTGGTCTCAGAATATCAGAGAAACTGAGTTATAAAACTTGGTTTCTGGAAGAGGCCAATAACCCAGAACCATAGTAATGGTACCAAGGAAAAAAAATCCCACTGCTGAATAAAAGAAACAAACAAAACCCCCCTACAAACAAGAATAAAGAAACAAAAAAATCCCCCTCAAGAATCTCCAAACCTACCACACCAGGATTCAAGCTAGGGCCTCATCAGCAACCAGCTGGGAGGGCCTGATCAGGTTGGGATGATGTTTGAGGTACATCTTAGGGGGAAAAGGGACTGCTTTTTGAATTGGAATGGTATCCTTAAACTAGAATGGAGATGCAGCACATTACAAAAAAATCATAAATAAAGTCACTTCCCATGTGAGACAAGAAGTAGACATAAATTATCAACTTGAAGGTTTTACCATAGTCTTTTGCTTCCTTCCTCCGTATAAGCATTGGAATCTGATTTTCCGAGCAGATAATCGTGGCCAAGGGCAGTGCTGTGTAAGGAACGCCGCACACACAGTCATACTTGAGACCAGCATCTTTCGCCGTCTGAAAGAGAAGATCTGCAACCTGAAAAGGAAAACCAAACATTTTTTAGGAGCCAGACTAGTGTGAATGTGACTAAACAAATGTATTACCAAAGGAAGCAGTGCAAAGGCATGAAAAACTCTCTCCTTTTCGTGATCTGACAGCCGCTGTGCCCACAGCGAGCGGGCATCCCGCCGCCCACACCCCGAGGGCTCCAGGAAGGGCCCTCTGGAGGGACCCCGGCAGCGCTCCCAGGCCGCCTCCCCTCCTTTAGCCAAAAAAGATCCTTTTCCCCACAGGAAGCGGAGAGGTACCCGGGACCCCCGCGGTGCCGGCACGGGCAAGCGCGGCCCGCCCCCCCCTCTGCCCCCACACCTGGCGGAGAAGAAGCGGGTGGGAGACGAGGCCGCGCAGGTCGACATAGACGGGGGAGGCGCGGCCGCTCTTCAGCACGAAATGGCCGAACCGCAGAGCGCCCGCCTCACGCAGAGAACCCGCCGCCACGCGCCCGCGCGCCGCCGCCATCCTGCGCCGGAAGATGACGTAGTGGGGGGGGGGGGGGGTGGGAGCGGGAGGGCTGCGCGCATGCGCGGAAGGAGCGCGGGGTGGGGCGCAGGCCCTGTCGGGGAGCGCGGGGTCGCGTCCCGTCCCCATCAACGTCCCGGTCCCCATCGCCATCCCCCGGCCTCGGAAAGGTTGCCGTACGTGAGAAATGAGATTGACCCGGTGTTCTCTGAACAACTGTATTTAATCAAAAAATCCCAGATACCGAATCATTAGTATATTTATAGGAATGCAAGGACAGATGTACAGTGTGAAGCTACATCTGTAGATGATCATATATACCGCAGTATAGTAATAACAACATGGGACAGCAAGTAATCACCTCACAACAGTACACATGAGTGATTAGACTTACAAAGGAAATATTTACAAACTTACCTTTACAAAACAACATTGTGTGCATACAAAATGAAATTCGCAATAAAACTGAAGATACATTTAAGGCAGACCAGCAATACACTGAAATAATTAAGGCTGTGGAATTACTTTGCACCTTGAAAATGCTGAGCTGTTAGCAATACTGTTTCTTTTTTCCTCCTTCAGCTGATTGTTGCAAAGATTGAAAAGCATCAATACATTCCAACTGTTTGCTCTTATCTCAGTAAGTCTGAGATTTTTTTTTTTGTTTTGTTTTGTTTTTTTTCACTTTATATTGCATTTGCCTTCCAAAAGTTACCAGCAAATTTACCTCAGTGGCAGAGCAATGCTGAACAGTTTGGTAGAAAGAGAAGTAAAAGCACCAGCATCAGAAGTTGGACATGAAGGTGAAATATGGCTTGAGTAGAGAAGATGTTGTTTTTTCACTAGCTTCATAATAAAGACTACAGTTACAGCGAATATTCAGCATCCTGACGCTATGGTAACACCACTATACAGATCCCAGAATGAGAATTCATCACTTGATGGCAGTGTGCAGTCAGCCTAGTAAAATGGAATTTTGTTTCCTTGGGAAAGCACCATTTTCTGATGGGATATGAAAGAATGAGCTGGAAAATAAATCCCAGCCCTGTGTTAGTGCAGAATCTACCTCTGCAGTGAAAGAAACAGAAACAAAACCAGGTTGTTAGCCCCTGTGCATGTTAATTGTCTGCTAGACCTTGGTATATACAGACTAGTCTTTACATCTGCCTCTGAAGTTTATATTATCCCAGATCATTTCATGGAGTCCCCTCATTGCAAGGGTATTAAAATATGGTTATATATAGTCAGGTCATAGTGTGTGGTTCTGCATTTAGCATTTGTTCATGGTATTCATAACAAAGGCCTAACGGCATTGTCAGAAATGCTAATGAACTCCACTGAAACCATAGAACTTGTACAGGTCAGTTGAGGGCACAGACTTTGCCTCACCATTAACTTAGTTTAAAAGTAAAATGCTTTTAAAAATAAATGTTGCTGAAAAAAAAAAAATTAAAAAGGCAGTAAGACTAAACAAGACTTGTTGGTACAAATTCTATTAGTTTTAAAGCCTGGATTGCTTTAAAATATTAAAGTCTAAAACCCTGGACTGGATAATGTGTCATCCCTGTAGTAACACGCGTAGGGGGCTTGGCAACTTGGTGGAGATGTGGGGATCACCCACAGGGCAGCGAGTGCTTCGGGCACCTGATGGGAGCTGACAGCGTTACAAGGGGCAATCAGATTCCCCGTTCGATGGCCGAGTGAAACGGCCTGGCCTGGCCTGGCTGCTCTGAGCGGAGCGGAGAGAGGCGCGAGCTGGTTCTGCGCGGCCACGCGCACTCAGTAAATGCGGCCATCTGAAATAACGAGCGCGGCGTGGCGGCGCGGCCTCGCCGCTGCCTTCCCGCAGGCCTGCTGCCCAGCCCAGCGCCGCGAGCAAGTGCACTTTGACGTCAGTGCAGGGGAAGAGCACCATGAGGACGTCTGGAGGTGGCGGTGGCTGTCTGCGCAGTGCCTGGCTGCACCGAGCTGGTGCTGCTCTGTTGCTAGTGTTACGGTCGGTCGTTCTAGCTGGTCTGAAGCTGCTGCAGAAGCGAGAATGTACAGCTGCCATCACACCTTCACTTGGGAACACCCTGAGTGGTAACGCTGCAGGTGGAAATGTTCCCCTCGGAGTCAGCTGCTCGCTCTCTCGGGAGCTTTGTAAAGGCCTAACGGAGCTTTATGAGAAACTGGGTTTCGCCACATTTGTTACAGGCAATATTTCATGCACAAAACAATCCAGTTTGGCAGAATGCTGCCAAGGGGGTTGGCTCTGGTGCTTCTCACTCAGTGGACCCACCCCAGGCCTACTTACTGAGCTTCTGTAATCTCTTTACAACAGAGTTACAACACCTGTTGAATCTGCAGAGAGGCCACAGGTTGGCTAAAAAAGACCTTAAGAGAGCAAGGTCGGAATACTTCCTCTCTATTTAGCATATGGCAGCATTTCATATCAACTTGATATTATTCAGGCAAAAGAAAACTTTCAGTTAAAATGCAAGAGTGGTTGATAATCACAAACGTATCTGGAAGTGCTATCAGGTTTCAGTTTTCTTGAATGTGCTGTAAGAAGAGCAGTGCCCAGGAAGAGGAACTCTTTAACATGAATATGGGAAAACCAGAATCATCAAGGAAAGCAACTCCATAAAATTCAAAATCTTCAGCGTTCAGAGCCACCAGGTCTCTCTTGACGAGGAATCTTCTTTGAATACGAGTACCAATACCTAAACACGTATCCTTTTGGGGTCTTTGTTATATGATAGCAAATGGAGGCTTAACTATTCCCTTAAACAATCCAGCTTTTTCCCCCCTGTGTATCCAAAGTGTCTGCTGTCACAGTTTGAGATGTGAATGCAGGAGGTAAGGGAAAAAAAAATAATTCCATATTTCATGTGATACATCAGAATTTGTTTGTATTAATGCCAAGCAGAAAGACTGTGGCTTAAACTGTACCCACAGGCCTAATAAAGGCTGTGGGTTTTATAAACCACATTTTTTTTTGAGGGCAGCACAATCAACAGCACAAAGAGCCATCATTGACAAATAGGAAGAAGTACAAACAGTCCTGTAGTGAGAAAGTACCTGAGGCTGGTGATCATTAAAGACACCCCTCGATGACTGTTGTCTGAAAGAAGTTTCAGTTGCTAAGAAATCATACTTCTCACTCTTGCTCTTGATGAAAGTTTGGCCTTTGTCTAAGAGGTGATGCTGGATTGTTTAGAAAATTAGCTGCTGTGCTAGAGAGAGGAACTGAGAAATGTTCTAGCTGATCCAGCAGGTTTAGCCTTCTGTGAAGACCGTCTCTTTCAAGCCTTCCCACAACTTCCCCCTATATTGGATCTTTCTCCATCAGCCATACAGCCTCGTACAGTGCTTCTGACTCTGCTCAGGCACTCGGGCTCACCCTTCTGACTGTGGCTCATTGACCTCAAGGTCTGTTCCTGTATTGCATGCACGTGGTGCTGAACATTGTTTTTATTTGTGTTGTGGTTTAGGCCTGATTGGCAGCCAACCACAATGTAGCAGCTCTCTCTCCCTTCCCCTCCGGCAATGAGAAGGGGCTGCCCCGATAGCCCCCTCCCCTGCCACCAAAAAACTCCACCACTCACTCAACCCAGGACAATTTGCTATGCCTCCTTTCTTCTCCACTAGCAAAATACTGACCACTGCAGCATACTGACAGAGCAAGCACAAAGAGAAGGGCCAGGTCTCCTACCTGCCGTGAAACTGAGCTTGAAGGTAGATCAAAAAAAAAGGGCTAGCAGAGCCCTGAGAATTTAACAGTACTTGCAGAGCATCTCCACCACCTGCTGGCAGAGACATCTTTTGCTCCTGCAGATATATTGCAGGCTCACAGTGCAGTTACTTGGATGGTAAATTAAATTTGACTCTTGCCCTTACAAGAGAGTTTATACTGAGCACACATGGTCAGATCAAGCCCTTTTCCGTAGGAAAACCTTTGGTAACAACTGACATTTCCCATTGCAGGCACAGCAATGGCACTCAGCACTGAGACAAAGTCCTCGCATGCCAGGGGAAAAAAAAAACCTCTTTGATCGTCACCCTACAAGGCTGTAGAGTTTTATGGTGCAGCAGCAGGACGGGGATGCCCCAGCTGGGGAGGTGTTTCCCCTCTCAGTCCCACTGCTAGAGAGGAAGATTTGGCCAGCCTACAAACTGCTGATTTGTCCCTGCAGACTCCCTGCATTGGTTATACTTAAGGCTGGCTCCATCACTGTAACATCAATATGATGATGTTGCAACTTGGCTTGCAAGAGAGAAATGTTTTAACTGTGAATATTTTTTATTTTATTACAAATTAGGCTTTGGACATAAAAATATCCTCACAAATGCTTTGGTGATGAGGTGCTAACGGCAGCTGAGAGCTATTTACAAGTTTGGAAATGAAACAAATGACATACTTTAAACACTGAAAACAATTTTCAATCTGTAAGCACAAGGATGAACTCACCACTCCTACTGCACTCTGAAAGGCTTAGATGGACTTTGGGCCAAGCAATTCTGAAGCTAGAAATGGAGCAGGATCCTTTATATATATATATATTTATATATATGATACAATATATGTATACTGAAAACCTGTGATAGAAAAAATTGTCTTCATTATCATCATCTAGTTTACAGATACTGCAAAAATTGGACACAGCCTTTTCTCAATGCACAGGTTTTGCAAAAGATTTCTGTACAGCGTGTATAAAATGCTTTTAAAAAACCCATCACAGTCCCATTGTGCTTAGTCAAAACCAGCTTTATGCTCCAATGAACTCATTGCCTTAATTGTAGCTCCGAAAGGTACCGCATGTTGACTTGACACAGCAGAGAGCCCAAGGATTAACAAGGGATTTTGATCTGAGCACTACCATGCAACGAGAGTGTATCTAAGCCATGCCACCACGGAAGCTGATCCAGCAGTGACTCGGGCCTGATATTGCATGTCCTATGCAGGCAAAGTCCCCACTGAAATCATGCCAGACCCGGGCATACAGGGCGTGCAAAATCCATCTG